GCATCAGGCCAGCAGGCTATCTAAGGCGCCACCCAGCCTGGCCAGCGAGCTGACCTTCAGCGGCACGGCGCAGCGAGGAGTGCCTGTGGTGTCTCTCAATGTGGCGATGGCGGCGCAGCCCGGCGGCGGCAAGGCAGCCGTGCGCTGCGGCTGCCGCGGCGCCTGCACCCGGAACTGCAGCTGCAAGAAGAATGGTGCGCGGTGTGGGCGGCACTGTGGCTGTATAACCGGTAAGGGTGGCAATTGCAAGAACCATTGAAGAAGTGTGCCTTGTACGCTTTGCCGTCTCCGCTGAAAGGTGCTGCCGCCTGTGGCGGCTTCATATTTCCTGTTCATTTCTGTTGTTCGGTCTCTCTGTTCGTGTTGGTTGGCTTGTAAGAGTTGTATTTCTGACGCTAGAGAGGTGAGATGACAGCGGGAGCGTTGAAGCGTGCATGCCATCACGTGTGCAAGCAGCCCCGCTCCGCCCCGCTCAACCCTCAAACATGGCTCTATGGGGTCAGTTCACGTATGGGAGGGGAGCGCCGCGCGGGCTGCCAGGAGCGAGCGGGGGCGGGGGTTGCCCAATCGGGAGGGTGCCACATCAGGGGGCAACACATGACAAGCGCCAGGTGAAAGTCCACCACAGCGTGCTTACAGCTGTGTGCTCGCTGCGAGCGCACAGATCCTGCTGTCCCCAGGGTGCCATACTCTCTTCACTCCAGGGGGATGGCCAGCACACTCGCTGCACACCGCCACCCCTTGCCGCACCTGGCGGCGCATGCGCACCAGGTGCCCGGCGGCCAGGTGCTGCGCCTCTGGACAGCGTGTGAGTTACAATCACCAAAGAAGTGTACCAGTGGAAAACAGGAGCTGGCGGGGTATGCACTGAGGGCTGTCTGGGAAAAGCGGATGGCAGTTGGTACCCAAACACACAGGGAAAAGCGGTGCTGCTGTGCCACACAGAGAAAGGGAGGGGCCGCCTGTCACAGGTGGAGCTGGCCAGCAGCGGGAGAGGTGAGCTGGAAAAAGAAGGAGCTGCGGGTGTGCCGTACCGGGCACCAGCTTTGAATGGTGTGCTGAAAAAGGGGCATGCTGTGGAGTGTGGTGATTCATGGAGAACA